ATTCTGCAGTGTATCACATGAAGGTAAATTCTAAGTAGTTCTCTCAAAGTAAGTTATATAGTGTTATATATTCTTTCTTTTTAAAATATTTTACAAGTCTGTTTTACCTGTGCAACTGATACTTCTGCAAAATAAGAGGAGATTCAGTCATTTTACATTTGCATCAGTTCTACATAGACAATAACAAATCTTGGCAGACAAAGCTAGTCAGTTTAACAATAATTTCATAATTTATAATAATTTTGACATGTAGCACACTAAAACCAAAAAGTCTTTTGGTAGGAGTTTTCCTTTTGTGAACCGTCTGACTTTCTGACTCAGTAGTTGCAGTTCATCAGGCTGAAAGTCTGTTATTGGATGTGGTGATATGGCACTTTCCACAGTCAAATTTTGGATGTTTCAGGCTTTGAGCACAATATTTAATGACACTGGTAATGTTTACAGTATTCTATTAAAAATACACAAACACTGCCACTGTACAGCAAAATCTTCCGTATAAAGAATGTCAACTTAAGCATGTGACAAGCTTGTAGCATCCAGGCAATGGGTTCCTTTTCTCCTTGCGTATTCTAAAGGTTCCAGAGTTTTCCTGTTGATTTCCAATTCAAAAGAAGTCTCCAAAAAATGCAACTTTGAGACAAAAACCTTCTCTAAACAACCATGGCTATCTTATACATCTCTACCTACATTACAGGTTTTTCTTCCATCCTTGTATTCAGATTTTGAGTGTACAGTGCTGCTATTGCCCAGTCAAGCAGTAGAGAGGAAGGAAAAACCAAAAATTAGGTTGTATTTCTTCCTACACAGAGAATTAATCAATTCTTGATTACATTCTATTGGCAGACTGTTTTGTCTTATCTGTTGAGGTGCATGTTGGTACCAGAAAAGTTAAATTTCTTGGAGAAATTTTTCACTGGCTTAGGGCTCGCCAGTGTGCTTTAAAAATACAGGAAAGTATAAATCCTTGTTACATATTCATGTTGGTGACAGCTGTCTTACAGGATAAAATATTTAATTAAAAACATTAACAATTATATTGTCCAATATCTAAAACCGAAGCTCATCAAAGCAACTTAAATTACATTTCTAGAAAGATAATTGATTGAAAATGTATATGTGACTTTCCGTTTATGACAGATTAACATAGTTTGTGTCTTGAAGATAAGAGTTCTTGGTGAAGTTGGTGCCGAATATTTTAGCAGTGTGCATAAGGACAGATAAACTGTAAGACCAGATCTCGTAAATGGAACTGTGGTTATCTGGGCTAGCAGAAGGCTTAGTAAAAGTAGAAATATGAACTCATTTCCAAAAATGTAATTGCTGCACTTAATTTCATTTTGTAGCCTGATGATTGCTGGTTTTAAGTATCTGTAGGACTTGATCATGGTGGTAGTAAAATTATTCCTTTTGTTGTTATCTGAGTTAGACTACTGTAATTTAAAAATCAGGCTGCTGGTAAAACCAGAGGGTGAGACTGGTGGAGAACACAGCTGCTCTGAATTCAGGCGACCTCACCCTCATGGGGGGATGCCCACCCCCTTGATGGCTACTTAAGGGATTGACCTCAATTTTTGCATTTGGTAGCAGACTGGTGGCAGTGGGCTTGATTGTTTAATGCTTCTGGAATTTAATCATGTTGTTATTGATATTCTACAGTATGTAGAATTTCCATCAATTTTGCAAATAACTTGTATTTAAATTCTTGAAGTTACACTGATGTTGTTATTTAATGCTACCACCATACGTAAGACTTCAGTGGACGACACTGTGGCCTTAGCTGGGCAAGACGTACATATAAATCACCCCAAATCAGAGCCTAAATGTAGTGTCTGTGGTAAATTTAGAAGTCGCTTACACCTGCGGGAGGACTCATAGCAGTGTGACTTGCTTAACACTCTTTATTTACAGTCCTTCGGACAGGATGCCAAATTCAAAATTAGTAGTAAGTGTGAACTGTTGTTGCATCTAAGAGCATGGTAGCATATTTTCTTGCTAAGTGGGTTAGAAGCAAATTCGTCTGCTTTTAGTACAGCTTCTGCCTTGCCAGTTTTGCTTTGCATTCTTAGTCATGGTTCTTAACCTGCGTAACTTAAAACATTTTCCTTAGAAGAGTTTTAGTATGCAGAATATTGCAATAGGATTTTAAACAGCTGTAGAATAATGTATTTTGTTTAAAAATAGATACTCCAAGTGTATTTATTCGGATGGCTCTGTGCATGTGTGTATCTGCAAAATCTGTCATGGAAGAAAGGGAAGACTGTGTATTCCATCCTGATGGTTGTCCCTTTGTGATTTGAGACTATTTCTGGTTTAGATAAAAGTTCCCATAAGCTTCCCTGCTTGGACTCCTGAAGGAGCTGGAAAAACTATTTCCGTCCAGAAGTAATAATAGCATGGGCTTTTGGTTTTGATCATAAACTGACATTTAAAAGTCATCTGAGATATTTCTTGATTAAAGTCAGGTTTTGCTTAATGAAGTTGTAGCTGATCTTTCCCATCTGGTGTCATGCTACTTGATGCGATTTCTTTGTTGCCCCGTGTCTGCTTTACAGGACCCCATAGGAGTTGCTGACTTTCCCAAGAAACCTTTCACTGGATCAGGTCATTCTGTTACCCTGGTTATTGCTTGGCTTTTCTTTTCCCTGGGAAAGCTTTTAAAAGTTGCACAGCAGAGAGTATGAGGTGGTAATCCGGTACCCACCAAGTGTATTTGGAATTGTGGTTCCGTCGGCCTGTGGCAGCTCGTGGGTACCGTGTGCCTGGTTCTTCATTCCTGTGCCAGATCCCCACGTTCCACCTCTGGGATACAGACATTCCATTTTATATGTGGAATATGAAAGGTAGATCGTGTGACTGCATTTCCTGGGTTTTATTCCCTAAATTGTCAGTGATGAACGCTGCTTGCTTCATCCTGGGTGCAGCAGTTTTGTTTCCTGCTTCTGCCGCGTGATCGCTCCGAGGAGTCACCCTTAGGTGGGATGGACAGACACCCCCTTCCGTGGGTCCAGAGAGGTGCTGCCTCAGGCAGCTGTTACGGCTTCAGTTTTAGCATGTAATATACCTGAAGAGAGATGCAGGTATTTCTGGTTTGGTTCAGTGGATTGCTGAGAAGCTGAACTCACCAACACGCTCTCTCCCAGGTACAAGGATGCTTTCAGACAACAGAAAATCATACGCTTTGGGATGTCCTTGAGATACCTCTGCTTTCTGTACGACATAACATACCACCCACTAGCTGGGGGTAAATCAATCAATTACGGAGCTGCTGAGGAACTCCCAAACAAGTCATGGGTGTGTTTTACAGCAGTTTGAAATTTGGAACTCTTACCTAGTTCCTCTGATCTCTTCTCTCTTGTGATTCCCAAAGGTCCCAGTATGGGCGGATGAAGATAAAACACGACTGGGTGTTTAGCTACAGTAACCTTGGGATCTCTTGTGAAGGAGGATCACCCCAGTACAAGCTAATCCTAAACTTCTAGGATTTGCAACCTGGAGCTAAAGAGATCACTCGATTCTCTGAGCCCTGTGATACCAGACAAGTGAAGGCATGTAATGAATATCAAAGACACGGGTTCGTGAGAAGGAAAGACTGGAAAACTTGTTTTATTTTGTCCTATCACTGTTCTGCGAGCGAGTGATCTTAGATGAGCTGTGTTTTCATGCTGTAACTACTGTGCACTTTGTTGCCCCTTACGTGTCTTTGTTCCCAGGGTAGATCGTGGCCTTTATCCCCCGTGGTACATACAGTACTAGATACTTTGTAGAAATTAAAGCTGGCAAATTCCATGTGTTTTATGTCATTTGGCATTCTGCACAACCCCCCTTCAGTTTGTCATAAATTCCTAAACCAGAGCAAGGTCACATCTGGTAGCAATTTCAGTCTGCCAGATGAGGTGTAATCCTGTAAAACCGAACTCGTTCTCTCCAGCGCTTTGTAAAGACAAGCTCTCCTGCTCCTTCTCTGTAAGATGCAGCACTTGTCCTGCGAGCGCTGTAGAATGATTTAGGCTGACAGATTTTTCACACTTTATAAACCACAGTTTTTGGAACGCAGCTTTGTATCTAAGTACATAAGACAGTACAAGCAAGTACCAGCGCTGAAGTCTTCACGGTAACAGGCTGTGTCTAGATTCTGGTTTCTTTTGCCATAGCACGTCCCTGCAGGACGCATTAATTGTGTTCTCTCTCATAGTTTGATGTATTCTCCTTACACTCTGAGTAACCTGTCGTCTTACGTACTGCATAACTCCTAAAGAATCTGTACAAAGATACTATTCAGTTTTCTTTTATATGTTTTTAAAATAGTTATAGCAAAAGCTGAGTCTTATGTAATGCAAGATGTACACGTTGAAAACTGTAAAATATTAGATGTGCTAACAAAGTAATGGAACAATGATCCATCTTTGCATGGTGTAGGAATTGAAAATAGCTCTAATTGCCAGGAACACGGAAGTTTAATAGCAGTCAGTAGTTGTATATGTTTGATCATGTTTCCATTGCCCTGTTATATTTTGATAGTGGTTATTTTGGTTTCCTATTGCCTTTATTACTTTATACCTTCAGAGCACTGTATGGAGCTTGGTGATGCAGTTTCTCAAAAGGAGCAAGCCTGTTCACATTTTTTGTGAAACTGATGTGTCATTAAATCAATTTAACAGGACTTAGTTAAAAATATTCTTTCTAGATTTCCTACATCTTGCATAAGGACTTCTAAGGCCTGTTTGTACAGGAGCACAATAGTGTTTTTTTCTCTGAGGTGACCAAATTTAGGTATCTCTTCATATCACATGAATGATACTAAAAAAAACCAAACCAAAACTTAAAAAGCATGTCAGAATTTGAAACAATTAGTATTGTTACTCCTAACAATTAAAAACGCAAGCTAAAAGTGGCAGCCTGTTAAAATCCACTGCAACTGGAAAGCACTAGCTAGAAACCACCTTGTCTACTCTGATTTTGCTGACCGGATTTCTACCCTTTTTTCACCTGTTTATTCCCAGGCCAAATACCCCAATTTTGTGGCCCTTCCAGAAGGACTGCTGGGACATTATATAATTCTAAGGAACCCCAAACCTTCCGGGTAAGCCAATAAATACATTTCTTGATTTATGCGGATAAAGGATTGTGAAATGCAGATTGTCAATCTGTACATAATCAGTCTGAAAAATTAAATCACTCTTTGCTTTATAACACCTTTAAACACAGAGATTAGATGATGGGTGTTACATTTTAGGGCTACAACCACGCATTAAAAACACCAGGAGAAAAAACTAAAAGCCCTGAAAACGTATGTGTATGTGGCCTTGTTAGAGAAGTCAGTCAATTGTATTGATACTTGTGCACTCACTCTTTTAAAAATGTAGGTGGACAAAAAAAAAAGCCAGGTGGGCTCTAGCAGGCTCTTAATTTGCATTTTAAGGAAAAAAAGAGATCATCTATGACTGTCTTGGTTTTGGAAGCTCATGAAGAGTCTAAATTGAAAGTTTAGGAATGTGGGAATACATCCTCCCTTTCCTGCATCAGAAAACATTTCAGGTTCACCTGGATTTGTTCCATCTTGGGTTTCTTTCTGCATTGTGTGACTGGAGGAAGGGGCAGACCAGGGCTGAGGCCCGTGTCCCTCTTGCTGTGCCAGGGTGGCCCCTCTCTGAGATAAGGCGGCGTCTTCCACCTTGGGGCCTGATGGAAGGAGCTTCCTCCCCTCCTGAGGCCAAGGCGGGGGGCAGCCCCTCACCTCCAGCTCATGCCGCCTTCTGCGGTGGGAGGCGCGATGCCCGCGAGGCACCGCAGCAAAGCACAGCTCTTTGGTCGTCTTGCCTTTAAAGAATGGAAAGAAAACTGAGTTGCCATGTTACTGAAGACAGCTGTAGTTATATTTTTCCATCGTTTCAGAGGGAAATCAGTTAGATGAAGGAGATCACTTCACTGCTATTTATTACTATTATTCTACCACACATGCTGGGTTTGTTTGGGCTCCCTGCTAGACATGTTCTGGCAGGTTTGGGTTTTTGAATTGAGTAAAAAAATTCTTGAAGCTTCATGTAAGACAATAACAATGAGCACTGTCAGGAATTCTTTAAGGACCAAGAAAAGTAACTATTTTGTGAAGGCATCAGACCTTTCCCTTCTCCTAGTGCCTTCACTCTAACATGCATTAGTTTATATGGAAACAGCTAGTAATAAAGCATAGCTGCCTCCCTCATATTTGCCTGTCAACTTGCAAATAAACCCAAATAGGTGGTGCTGTCTTGGCACTGTAGTGCCAGATCTGCCCTTTAAAGCTGAATGTTTTAACTCAGGGTTGCTGAAATGAATTCTTGTTAGGCCATCACAGTTAGAAAATAAGCTGCTTTATTTTACAGTTTCTCTTCATGTTGGCAGGTGTCAAGTTCCATTACACGTTCCCTCTCACCCATAATCATGAAATACTTTAACAATCATTTCAGTGGGTTGGTAGAAAATACACTTCCATATTCATGTTTGCAGAGTCCCAGAACAAGCTGTGCACAAATCCTCGAAGGTTTTTTAACACAGTAGCAAAAGGCTGACAAATCAGCTTTAAAGGGAACTGTTATATTATGATTGGTCAAACACTGAGAAAAGGAACATCCCCCTGGCAGTGAGTTGTTATTGTGCAGGTTGGCTTTGGATTGAGAGCCCTCCTTTCCATAGGGAATCCTCCTGAAAGTAGGGAGTGGAGGGGAACACAGTATGTGGTGAAGCAGATGGGCTGTTATAAAGCAGCAAATCTACTATGAACATTGTTCTAGAGTAATTCCTGTGTGCTTGACTACACCAATTCTTCCCCATGCTGAAGCCAACTGCCTAATTGTTCACTTAGGCTGTACTCGTCCCACTGCCAAAGCTGGAAGGGTTAGCCCTGCAAACACACCAAAAATGCTCTTGAAGGAGTAATGATGGTTCAGATTTTTTTTTTTTAAATTAAAAGCAGAAAATGCAGGAATCCAGGCCTTGGATATACTCATCCCTGTGCATTATTTTGCAAAGGCCATGAACAGTATTGGGGTGGACTTATTCCAAACCCAGACCATCACAATTTATGCAAACACTTCTGAAACGATTTTCCTCCATTTCCATCCTACATGTAGCAGAGTGCCTGACCCCAGGTATTGTGTGTAAGGGCTGGAGTATGCCATCATCTCCTTTCCCATCTTACTTTTTACCATGGCACTCTAGACACCCACCGTTTGAAGGCAAAAACGAGGGGGAGAAATCCTTTAGGTTGAAAATTTGAACATACCTGGAACCCTTCCTTGGCAACAGATCACTGGTTCTCTTTGGTTCAAACAGAATTATTACTGGTTCCCAAATACAGAGATGGGTGCTGCATTACTTGAGGTGAATTTTGTGTAAGAGCATAATGAGTGTGAACTTTATTGTCTGCTTTGAGGAAACCTCAAAGACAGTTGCCTAGTTAACACACTTTTCTGTGCACACGATGCAGGTTTGAATTAATGGTTGTTTGGAAGATACATATAGATGAAGAAGGGAGAATTACGCCTCTTCTGGACCTTCTGACTAAAGTACCAGAGCAAGGTAACGTTATCTGGCTAACATCTCTTTAGATAAAATGGAAATACATCTTGCAGCACCCAACTAGGCAAAGAAATCCCAATTTAGCAAGCAGCAAAGCTTCACCTCCTCTGAAATTTAAAAGGGTTTACAAAAGTCTGCTTTCCTCTCCCAGATAGCAGGTAACCCATCTGATCCATAAATGCACTGCTGATGGCTACTTCCAGTAATTGTGCAACTGTCTGGCAATGATGCACTCTGTTGCCTTTTTCTTGCAGTCCTGGCGTGGAAGATGGCAGCTATAGAAAATGCACCCACTGGCTTCCGGAGCATGCTGCTGCTGTTTGGGATTGAGGCGGCTATCGAGAACCTGATCAAAGTGGTCAGCTTGGGAAAATGAATACCAGTCTGACTTACAACAGGTAGCAATTTCAAAAGTAGTTTTAATTAAGATATTGTGTTACATGGTCTATAATTTTATTGAATATAAACATTAAGTTATTTTCCATTTAGAAACCATACTCATAAAACATGCTATCTGTACAATTATGGCACGTTATATATAAATTGTCATGACATGAAAATAAATACAGCCATTTAAATACAAAAATGCCAAATAAAATAGTTACATGTACAGAGTGATTTCATTATAAATTTATCTTTCTGCATCATTAATGTACCAGAGTGGTTTATCTTCTTAACATTTTCTAGATACCTGGAAAGTGTTAAAAGATCATGCACTGTCAAAATCAAGTCCATAAAAATCCATTTCATTTCACAGCTCTGTAAAAGTACAGTGATCTTAAAATGATGAGAGAACAGTAAGAGACTCCCAGAACAAAGAGTTAAATAGCTTTCTCATTAAATTAGGGTGGAAGTAGACAATTTGACGATTTCAAAGACATACTGTGCTAAACAAAAAAGTAACTGTATGAAGTAACTTTTTTCCATGATGTAAGTGTTGAGTAGAGACAGCATTAAACTAAAGAAAGGACCACTACACTTCTGTAAAGAGAGATGGACGAGTTAACTACTGCTCACAGCAGCACTTCCTTTTGATTTCCTACTTCTAGGGGAGATTCTAGTAGGTAACACATTACAAAAGCATCACATTCCATACACTCATCCCTGAAGAAACAAAACAGATTAGACAGATGTCTTGTACTCTTCCCTCACAGTTACCATCAGCAGATCTGGGAACTCCCTGCATTTTGAGGAGCCCCTGCTCTGCACTAGCTCTCACAACCGAAGCACCTTATCCTCGCCAAAGCTCGAGGACTGTAAGTCACATCCCCCACAGGGAGGGAGCGGCAGTGGTTGTTCCTGGAATCAAGGGCCCAAAGACCCCCACTGTGGGCTCTAGGGTAACGTGAAGAACCTTCCTTTTCAAGTCTACAGCTGCTCTAACCACGCAAGCTGTACAACTGCCTGCTCTGTCAGTTATGGCAAAATATTTTATAGCAATGGTGAAATAGGTGGAGAAATCAAGAACTAAAATAAACATACTGCTGCAATACCAGAATTTTAATAATCCACTATTTGACCACTGAACTAGTCTCCTACTGTTCTGGCAGGTCAGGAAAAACTGACAGATGAGATTGGCTTCTGTCAGAATCTACAGCTGAGCAATGCCAGAGATTCAGTTTTGATAAACAGCAACTCTCTAATAAAATATCTTATTAGATACAACTAATAATTTCAAGTTTGGAATCCAGTAGACAGGCAAAATTCATCGCTACTTTACCCACTGACATGTTACTGGTTCAGCCAGTTTTGTGTAACATTATTTCCTCTTCAGTGCCTCCTTGCGTGAAAATGAAACTGGCTGATCAGCAGATACACTTCTACTTGTGTATGAAATGTGTGTAAAGTTACAGTATAAAAACCTGAAAGCTTCCCAGCTGTGGACAAGTCCTTCCTTCCTCCCTTTGCCTAACAGCTGGAGGATTTCCAGATGTAAAAGCAGTGTGCTCTGCCCCAGGCTCTCTTTGGGAAGAGGGGTGGCCCATGGCAGGGAGGGCAGCCTGTCTGCCCCCAGGTCACTGCCTGTGCTGTGGCTGGGTGGGGCCTTACTTTCTAGTTCATGTTTCTTCCTTGAGTTGTGCCAAGATAAAGGGTTTTCTGGTTTTGCTTGCTGAACTTCAGGTAAAATGGAACGATTCACACATTACACTGAGATCCCAATATAAATATATTTTTAAAATGTTAACCTACGCTATTTTGAAAAATATTACCAGTAAGCACACACGGTATCCAGGTAACAGCAGTTTCCTCCAGCTTGAGGAGCAGCTCTGCATGTTTCAGGGTACAGGACGAGTGTCTGTCCATTTGATCACATGACCCTTAGTCGGGGTGTTCCTGGAGGGTGGCTTTTACTGCACCATCTCACAAGACTTCAGCTGCACACGCCAATGTTTACAAAGGAACACCATCGTTACATTGCTGAAGTAGTGACACAAGCTCAGCTCCAGCACTCCTCCTGGGAGAGGGACCCCCTGCAGCTTCAGAAAAGCAGATACTGTCACCCTTTTTACGTGTCACTAAAAAAGAATGAGCCTGAAAGCAGCTGTTCATGCTACACAGTATGTGGGCTATCAGTGAAATAATGCCAATGCTTGACACCATCTGCAAGACCTGAAATAATCTGTAAAACTCAGAATATATTATTCCTATAGCTCAATTTAAATTAGGTAAGAGCAAGCTGTGGTTTCACCTTCAATAGCAGCATATAATGTATAAGAAAATAAAAGTCCAGTATGTCAGACAAGTTAAGCCCAGCTATCACATAAATCTCAAAGATGCTTACCTTTAACCCTTTTCACTTCGTTTCAGAAGCTTTAGGTAGAGACCGGGTGATAGCAAAAACTTCTGGAGGCAGTCTGGTGTTCTTAGCCTCATGCATTCGTACTTAAGTGTTTTGCAGCAACACAGCAGTTCCACAGATCAGTAACACTTGAGTAGCCACTTCACCTTTACTGTCAGTGGACTTAATGCTAAAGTTTTCTATTAGGTTTTGTCAGAGCATTCCCTCTTCCTAGTAAGTATGAGTGAGACTCAAAGCACAAGCTCCAAGGAAATTCTCTTATTAGTAATTAGGCTTTCTATGTTAGTGCAATACTTCAGGAAACCTTTAATTCTGTGCTCTTTCAACTCTAAAGAAGTAGGCTTTTAGTATTAATTGGATCTGTCCTCTAGTTCCAAGGTATGGCACATTATCTGTTCTGTCATATTAAATACATTCATTAAGGTTATATAGCAAATGCGTGTTTTAGTGCTATTCCATGTCTCTGAAAAGGCATATACCAATTAGAAATAATTTCTTAAAGCAAAAACATTCACAGCTGAAAAATGCACTGAACACAATAGGAAAAAAAATCACCATAATTGTATTCCATTAATCTTTCACTTTCTAATGTGTTTGAATAAAAATAACCTTAAGGACATGGTTACACTTTATGGAGAACTAACGTGCAGTCTTCATTCTCCTTGAAGAGATTGGACATAACTGGGTCATCTTTGGCCTGTACATTCTTCAAATAATAGTTTACTATCTTGCCATCGAGTTTGTACTGATGCGGAATGCTTTCATAGGGTTTTAGATCAAGGTCCAGGACAGAAACAGAAAAGGTGAATCTTGATTTGGATGTTAGTACCACAGGTCTTTGCTCAGAGCTGGAAAACAAAAACCATATTGCACAGCTGAGTCCCTGCAGCAACGTTTTTCATTTGTGTATCCCGAGTCCCCTTGCAAAAGTGACTCCAATGTTTATCTTGGGCTCCCATGGAAGTTCTAAGAAAATAAACTTCAGCTAATGTAGCATTTCGGAAAGCACAGCTCCAGTTTAACCAGTCTTAAAGTGAACTTGCTGGCGCCTCTTTCAGTGGTTTGCCTTTCAGCTTTCACACAGCTTAAGTCAAGACATTTCTCTCAACTCCTGTGTCTCTGTATTTGGTAAGTCTCACCTGTCCTGAGGTGCTGTGCATGCAAACCAGCAGCCTTAGGAACCAGCAGAGGCAGAAAGAATCACTGCAACTCCTAAACTTAGGTTGAAGGTAATACAAATTTAGTATCAGAACTAGCATCCAAGGATCGAGGACTTTAATAATTAAAGTCAGCCATTGCACAAGTCATCTCTATGGTGAACATTTTGTTCAAGAACTGCAGGGCAAATGCAGAAAAAAAGACTCTCTAAAAATAACCAGGCTTTGGTAAAGCAAACTCCTCTACGTAAGAGCAGACTGTTCTTGCTGCCACAAGTCAAAATGGACAATATTGTGGCAAAGCCTTCCACCTTGCAGTGAAAGATAAAGATGTCACCTCTTCATTACCGCCTTGGTTTTATTCTAATTAGGTGGTTAAGGGCAACTCATGTTGAAAAAATCTCTCATGTGAGGATGCCAAGGCAGAAAAATTGTATCTAGTTAAAACCAGGTACATCTACAAACAATTCAAATTTCAAGGAGGGAGTAAATGTAAAACCTTAACCCTTTTTATCAACTTAAACCTCTTCAGAAACAAGAAATTTCTCCTACATGTCTCAAATCAGAACTATACCTTACTAATATGCTCGCAGCCAAGTACCTGGGGACACCCCACCCCACCCCCAAAAAAACACTTTTTAGAAGTGACTTGAATTGCCTGAACTGTGCAAAGGCATTTTCATTTTCTGAGTAGGAAGTCATGCAGAAGCAGGTGTCTCTTACCATTCATCTTGTAGACAGGGTGAAAGGGCAATCATGATGGAACAGTCTTTAGCAGTCATTGCTATTCTATACTGCTGCACCTACACAACATGAAAATAACAAAATTTTCTCTTATATTTGTATTGGCCTTTAGTAAAGCAGACTGTTTTTTATGAAAGGCATTATTACACTCAAGTGTATTAGTATGTTGGTACTTTAAGAGCTGGAGATTCTCCCTCTAACAGATGGCTAGCAGAAGCAAATGGTTTTACAGCATCCTGTGTAAGAATCATGTTTTTTTCCTAAAGATACTTTTCCCAAAGGCCAAAACAGCACCAGTTCACGCAAATGCTTCCTCAGTCTAGAAAGGAAATAACCAGATTTATTCTCTCCAGAACTGGTGCTAAACTTTAGTTTTAACTGCCTCTGCTAGAAAGCTACACCCTAGTACAATGAAGAACTTGAACCGTGCAGACCTCTGATAAGCCTGCATGGTGCCAACACACCAACCAGCCCTTTCCATGAGGCGGGTGTTTATGAGGAGTGACAGACTAAACAGGCTTCAGCAACAGGCCCGGGAGAGGTACCTTTGTTAGCGCAAATGCCACTGTCCCGTCATCTTCAGTTGAAAGATCTAGCAGCTTCTCGTAAAATGCTTCATTGTAAGGTCCATCTATCTGTAATGTACTTCTAAATAAATTTTAAAAGAAGATTTACAGACAGCCAAGATGATTTACTGGTTTTCCGTGAGATCTTTCTTCAGCAGCCCAGATACTCAGATTAGAACAAACCAACAATAACACTGATAAACATGGCAACAGGTTAATATTCAGAGATCTAACACTGTGACCAGTCCCTGTTATTATATCAGTGAAGATTTCCTGCTGCTTAGGATTTAGGTTGGGTTTTTAAAAAAGATTAATCATTCTTAATCTACTGCCCCCTGTGTATCACTACAGGAACAGTAATTTTTGCAAAAATGGCTACGTTTCAAATTTTGTTGCAGGAGCTCCCAGAAGCCTTGCTGAAAACGTTGGGGGCCCCACTCTGACCCAGCTTCATAATGTGTGTGAACACGGGGATGGTTTATCTGGCCTCCTTCTTTCCCATGTTAAATACCTGAACTCCTGCTGGAAAGCTGAACCCCTAAAAGCAGGGTTTGCAGCACACAGACACCCTGCGGGTGAAAATACATCTCCAAATTACATGTTTAATAAGGTATCACTACACAAGTAAGCAAGTGGTTTAGGCAGAACTTCAGGCCAAGCCGTTGCCCAGCTGATGTCCCTCTGGACCATCTGACCCCTGGAGTCGGAGCCTCCGGAGCAGCGACGCCTTGCCAGTGAAACCAGAGTGCCCTCGTGTGAGCAACGGCACAACTACCACAACTCACAGCCTGGGAATGCAAGAAGCATCCAAGTCAAGGCCTTTTACAGCAATTCCAACTAATAGGTTTGTTTGAGAACACATGTAGCAGCTTGTCACACTCAGTGTTTATTCACCAGCCATAAGAGAGCAGTTCTTGTGGCTCAGGTATGATTTGATCCCTTGTGCAGTGGATAACAGTCTGGCATCTGGAGCTGTTCTGGACAACAGCAGATCCAGGACCCTCACACCCCCCAGTAAGCTCTCGGGGCACAGGCTGGATTGCAGCTGATAATCCCATTCGGGGTTTTACAGGGCAGGTAGAGGCAGGCCAACAGGGGTTGAGAATGACTAAGAACACCATTACTACCACAGACAGTCCTAGCTCTGCAGGTACTGAAGGCAGGAGAAACCAACCATCCAGGTTACTGCATCTCTCCTCAAATATACAATCTTAAATATACAAGGAACAGGGCATTTTTCTCTCTTACCCTGCCGTGAACTTCCCATGATCATTACTTAAAAATTCAGGCCCAAGTGACTGATATCAAAACTTCTAACAATAACACTCATCTTTTATATTATCTGGCATTTCAAGTTAGAAATTCAGAATAGACTATACCATGAAGGAAGGTGGTACACAATGTAACGAGAGAGTGCATAGAGCCAGTCCTGTCTGCATACCCACTTCATCAGAACTGAAAAGAAAAATCATCAAGTCTTACCTCTCTTCAGGAAATTCCTCTAAGTACTGTTCAACTCTACTGTACAAAGGATAGAGTCCTTCAATATCCAGCATGTCAAGCATCTGAGCCTGAAGGGTTTTATAAAGGAGACAATCCCTCGGTAAGCCAGAGCTTTCCAATTTATGTTTACCTAGAAAAAAAAAAATGCATTTTCAGAAGGCAGACACTAGTGTCATCTTTGCTTCATTTTGCCATTCCATGTGCTTGTTCAAAGGAAACCCAATTATTCCTCAGACCAATCACATGGGCACTGGGAGGAACCCCAGAACACTTCCCTTTCCAAACACAGATGTGCCAGGTCCGTGTACTGACCTGCACATTTAAACAGCACATATTTCACTGCAGAGTAAGCCACATGGTCTACAACTCTACAAATCATTCCAAAAAATAAAACACCAAACCCCACTTTCTGTAGTAACACCTTTCTCCAACACAGCAAAACCAACCAGCAATGACAAAGATCTTCCTCAAAAGCAGAGTAAGAAACCAGTTGTTTGTGTAATTCACATAACTAGCAGCGCCTTGAATAATTAGAGCTTCACAAAACTTACACACTGAGGGATGAACATTATTTACAGTTTTCCAACTCTCACCCCCTTTCCTTTTCCCTCCAGTACCTGTCTCTTTACCAGGAGTGGAGTAGTAGAAAAAAGAAAATGAGCTACACCCTAACTGGCAAGGGCTGCCAGGAGGAGCAGGGAAAGGCAAGAGAGGGGTCGTGGTACAAACCAACCAAAGCAGCCAGACTTCATCACATACAACATAAAAATTCCCCCCTCATGTGAAATACCTACAATGGTTATCAGCTCCAACTGCTATTTTCTTCCATTTTTTCTCTACCACCTTCTGAATTTACTTTTATCCCTGTTGGTAGGCACGGTGCCAGAAGTGCTCACTACAGGGTCACACTAAAAACAATTACCTAGCAGTTATGCACCTCAGAACTCATTCTCTAAATGTCACAAACTCCACTGTTTCTGTTCTCACCTCGGTATTAAATATCAAATGGGAGGCAAGGATCTGAATTGTTATGTGATACCAGATAATTATTGACAGTGCTCAAGAAAATGTTTCTTACCATTTCTTACTAGCTCCTTATTAAAAGCACTTGCTTCACAGTAGCTTCTTCCTTGTGAAATGGGAACTGTCTTCATATCACCTGCCCTGCAGGCATCAGTACTACTTAGTAGCGTCATAGTTATAACATGGATCAGTTCTTTAACTATTGTCCTTGTACAGTGTGGCCCACTGACCAACCCGTTGGAAGGGAAAAAGAAGGGTTTTAAGTGACAAGCAAGTTCATTCCAGTCAGAGACACAGTCCTGGTCATCTTTACAGCCATAAATTAGTTCCCCATTCTGCAAATGAGAAAAAAAAAAATTTTGGCACTTCCTGAAATCCAGTTATTCATACTTAGTTAATCAAAGCATCAGATTTAGTATCATACTTAGTATGATATTAAGCATTCATACTTAGTTAATCAGAGAATCAGATTTAATATTTTAAGACACATAACACAGAAAAGTGGATTAGTTTAACAGTCTGCACACAAATACACACATTCCCAGCCTCTTACAAATTTGCCCTCTTAAGTTTAACCAGACACCACAGGTAACCACCTTTGAATCAGGACCGAAAAGCCCATTTAAATCAAGTGCTACTTTCCCAACTTCATCAACTGTAAGTAATCAGAACAATAAAAGTGAACTGATAGTATATTTTCCTATTGCTTCTATCTGAATAATATCAATAGTGAAAAAGCATCATGTGAAACAACCTTCTTTCTTTGAAAAGCCAGACTGGAAAACAGACAGCTATAAAAAGGGTCAGAAAAGGTGTGATAGTTACCTGTACTAACAGAATAAATAAAATAAGACAAGTTCATACAAGTTTAAGTAATTCAAATAGTTGGTTTAAGACTGGAAATAAATTGTAAAGAACCTTACTTCCTAGAATTAATCTGAAAATCTGCATAAGCCATCAGTTACTGCTTTATATTTCTCATATTAATGCCATAGAACACATACTCAGCAAGGCATGCTGTGCATTTGGCCTGCACAAATACTGTTAACAGTAATTTTAAAAAAATAAATACTTGCAGCAACATGCAAAGTTCTCAATCTTCTTCCTCCTGAAGAAGCATGTGAAGTTTTATAACTCTGGTCATCTTTCTATTAGTTGTTCCCTAGCAACTCTTTCAGACTAATCAGTTTTGGGGAATTATTACTTCCCTGTCCTAACTTGAAATCTACCTGAGAATTTTTCTGTTTTCTTCTTTTGGTGGAGTCCAATAGTGACAGTGCTAATCAAGTAGGTTTGAAGGAGGATCTTGACTGTTCAGATGCTGAAGTCAAACTGTTTAAAATCCAAGGCAAGAAAAGCAAGCAGCGAGATTTGATTGTTTACCTTAAATATTTTCAAGTTGTTCTGTGCCTCCTGTAATAAGCTCTTCAAAGCAAAGTGCATTCTCTGTTTATTTCTAGTGGGGGAAAAAAAAAAAAATCCAAGAATGTTTTATCACAGGCTTTAGATGTTTAGACCCCTGCCCGGAGGGTTCTGCAGAATCAGAACCGAGCATCTGAAGTGAACACACCCAGTAAGTGTGTTACTGGTGCTGAAGTCACCATAAAGACAGAGTGACTACTACAAATGGAACTTCTGAGTAAACTACACAGCTCTCAGGTTTAATGTTATGTAGCAAAAGGCACTGGCACATTAATAAGCAACGCTGATTCCTGAAACAGGTGCCTGAAACAGTCAAAGTCATGACAAGCAGACACTGACCATCCATAACACTACAGTGAAAATCAAAGTCATCTGAGACAAATCTGTAACACAATTTTTTTGTCAAAACCACAGAATCAAGAATCTTCCTTACCCTGAGAAGAGATCCAACGGGCAATATTTACTTGGTCGCTTCCATTTTCCGTTTGCTACCTGTTGACAACCCACACCACTGCTGTTAATCACTCTTATTGGAATAACTACTCTGTTATTTTAATAGTCAGGTGCGTGGCACTAACATCCTCTCTCCAAAAGTCCCGTGACATTTAAAACCCTTTGAATGTAAAACGCATGGCTACTATGGGTCTTCCTAGTCATATTTAGCTCAAGTCACTCAAAAGGTCACATTAAAGGCACAGTTACACCATTTCAGACACAGAATGGACATTAGTCAAATGAATTCTGTGTGTTACACGCTGTTACAAGTTATGGAATCCACTGTGCATCTGGTGAGTTGTACTTGAAAGGAAACCTGGCATCGGAGTTCACTCAATCAACAGCATTAGTAGTCCCCAAAGACTAATATTGTATTTGTTTGCTTCCAGCTTCCCACAGAACTTGTTCCCTCTCTCACTAAAGAGATTCACACCCAGCAACTCAGATGCGTATCTTTAGTCATACCAGAGATTTAAGCAAGTTTCAACAGGAAAGCATGACTGGAATAGCAAATAAAGCACCATAGAGTCAAAGGAAAGTGGGATGACTTAGGAAAAAAAGTTTACCTTTAGATGCTGATGCATACAGTAACGACACACCTTGTGCTTTATCTCCTGTGAAACACGGCTGGAAAATGGAATGAAGCCACACTTTGGCTAAAACAAACAAAGATTATAAATATAAATGTATTTCTTTATAGAAATACAGGGGCACACAATATGCAAGTCTTCCCATTTATAGGAAAATAAGATTTTTCAAAAGTTGCTATCCAACACTTAAAAGCTGTATGTTATTCCCAATTACTTTAGTGTCCTCACTTAAAAAAGGACACACAAAACTGCTGTGGCCTACAAAAAACCCTCGTAATACCTGGGAATTTCCCAAGTTTTGAAAGATCAGGAACCAGAAAAGGGAGGGGGATATTTCACCCTATGAGTCACAGTAAAAGTGGTGAGCTCTGCTTTATCCCACTGCTGCACTCCTTGGAAACTGCTCTGGTCAGTATGTACTTAAAAAAATGCAAACAAAACCCCCCCTGAAGGATCTTCACCCAGTCAGTACCTTAATCTCTATGCAGAGGATTGGCCGGTGTTCCACAAAACGATAGGTCTGCAGCCTGGTGAGATTAGGAAGGCACATTGCGTAACCACTGAGAGTGTCCATATCTTTATCACAGCGAGACTCTGGGGAGAACAACAAATAAAAACCAACACAGACAAGAAAATCAGGTGTGTGGATGTTTATTTTACCCTGTAGTTCAGCAGATGGGGGGGGTGGGAACAAACTTAGAAAGACAGGACACAGTTCAGCAAGCTTTAGCCAATTATGCACTTGCATAAATTTGCCCTCCCCATTATCAACACCCTTTATTCAGTTTCCTCACAACCGCCAGGAGCACACAGAGTCTCCAGAGCTGCTCTGAGTGGCCAGCTGCCAGCTCAGCCCAAGAGAGGCCTGAAGCAGCAAGGGAGCACATTCAATTGCCTGACAAGGGGTAAAGAGCCTTATTCCTGCATTCAAAAATGCTTACTGAAACTGTGTGAACTACCATCTCTCCGTTGAGTCAAGAGCAATCTGTGAAAACTGGCAGGAATATCAAAAACTTCAGGAAAAAGTGTAAGTCTAAACAGAACCTGCAAGTGGCTTCACTCAACCCCTCAGTCTGTATGTGGTCTCTTCCTAGCTGCTCGTGTTTCCATCAAAAATAAACAGGTAAAAAGGACCATATAAAGAACAAAAGTGAGCTTCCCCCTCCTCACAAGCTCACAACTTAGAATAAGAATTTCCTCTGCTAAAAACCACTCTTAAATCCAGCATTTTTAATATAGTCCAGATTAACAATCCCGAGAAGAAACAAAGTAGCAAAACGGTTTCAAATTAAGATTAAGAGACTTTATGTAGATAAAGCCTTTAAATGTCCTCCCTCCACAGGCATCCTTTGGGACAAAGGTCTGCAAGATTTTAATTCGAATTTAACAAGAACACAGACTCCTAGATTTTCAAGTATCTGTGTTCCTCTAAGGAAACATTCAGAACACATATGTTCTGTTATAGTTTCCATTGCTAAGAAAAATGTCCACTCTGAAAAATATATTGCAACTGAAATAAAAAATAATCTCAGAAACTGAAGCCTCAGGCATCAGCCTGCAATTACATGCTGTACTTCACTAGGATGAGCAAGAAACCACCTTCTTTCTCCAACAAAATGCTTCAGTGTGTTTTCTTTTTCTAAACTTAAACAAAAGTAAATCCATATTCACTGAAAGCCACTGGCCAAATCAGACTGACCCAGAAATCTGAAGTATTAGAGAAGTTCCTTCACAAGTTAGACAGGCTTATGTGAAAGGTAATATTAAAGGAAATTCTTTCCTCAAGGTTTAAAAAAAAAATCATGTTAAAAATGAACAGTGAGATTTGCTGTTGTAAAGCTCCTCACAACCACATTTCTTTCTCTGATGAAAACCCCAAGACCTGCAGACACACAAAATTTAGATTTAAAAAATAAAACTAAATTCTATCATTCCCTTCTACCAGAGCATCACTGATTTTGTAACTTTTATTAAACACTATTTACTTTCCTTGTTGGTTTCTGGTACTGTGGAACTTTCTCAGAAAGGTATGAAGTCTGCAATGGAGTGTCCTATGCTCATTATATGTAAATTAATTCAATTTTTTTCCTGGACCAGAGGCATCAAAAGTTCTGGCTACAGTCTTTAGTACCACAAGGTATGTTGCTAAAGCAGAAACAAGAACGTTTGAGAACAGATGAACACACCATGAGGGACATCATCTTTTTGCCCATTTTAGATCTTATGCCTCACTGTACTTTCAGCCATACATGAAGAAGGATGCACCCAAGTGTTGCCTAGAACCACAGAGTGGTTTGGGTTGGAAGAGACCTTAAAGCCCTTCCAGTCCCACCCCCTGCCCTGGGCAGGGACACCCTCCACCAGCCCAGGTTGCCCAAAGCCCCGTCCAACCTGTCCCTGAACCCTTCCAGGGAGAGGGCAGCCACAGCTGCTCTGGGCAACCTGTGCCAGGGCCTGACCACCTCACAGGGAAGAATTTACACCTAATCTAAATCTACCCCCTTTCAGTTTAAAACTGTTATCCATCGTCCTATCTCTACACCCCCTGATAAAGAGTCCCTCCCCACCTTTCCTGTAGCCCCTTTAAGTACTGGAAGGCCACTATAAAGTCTCCCTGGAGCCTTCTCTTCTCCAGGCTGAACACCCCCAACTCTCTCAGCCTGTCCTCACAGGGGGCAGCTCCAGCCCCCTGAGCATCTTTCTGGCCTCCTCTGGACCTGCTTGAGCAGGTCTGTGTCCTTCTGATGTTGGTGCCCCCAGAGCTGGACACAGCACTGGGGGGGGGTCTCACAAGGGTGGAGTAGAGAGGGAGAATCCCCTCCCTCACCTGCTGGCCACACTGCTCTGGATGCAGCCCAGGACACGGTTGGCTTTCTGGGCTGTGAGCACACATTGCTGGCTCAGGGTCAGTTTTCCATCCACCAGTAGCCCCAAGTCCCCCTCCTCAGGGCTGCTCTCCATCCACTCCTCGCCCAGCCTGGATTTGTGCTTGGGATTGTCCTGACCCATGTGCAGGACCTTGCACTTGGCCTTGTTGAACTCCATGAGGTCCACATGGTCCCACCTCTCCAGCCTGTCCAGGTGCCTCTGGATGGCACATCCCTGCCCTCCAGCGTGTTGCCCACACCACACAGCTTGGTGTCATTGGCTCACTCCCACTGGCCATGTCACCACCAAAGGTGTTAAACAGCGCCGGTCCCAACCCTGACCCCTGAGGAGCGGCGCTCGTCACTGCTCTCCACTTGGGCATGGAGCCATTGACCACAACTCTCAGTGTGACCATTGAGCCAATTCCTTATCCACCCAGTGGTCCAGCCATCAAACCCTTGTCTCTCCAATTCAGAGACACAAGAGTGTCGTGTGGGACGGTGTCAGATACTTTGCACAAGTCCAGGTAGATGAAATGATGACACCAAATTCTGACACTTCACACTGAAAGCATCAGAGATTGCCAATCTTTGAGTCTTGCAGCACGTTCCAAAAGGTTGCAAAAGGTCAGTGCACCCTTCCCTCACACACTTTGATCTCCACCCTGTCCAAGGGGCCTAGAAAAACATACGTGCACTTCACCTCTGTATAGGGACCCCAGAGCACCGTGCAAGAGTTGGCAGAAATCAAGCACAGCCCCATATCACAGAGATGCTCATTAAACTTTAAGGCAGCAGAGGCTGCAACGCTGCCACCCCTCGCAATGAGTCATGCCCGGCTATCAGGAAAGCGATATGACAAGCTGGACCATGAAGTGGCACACTGCTCCGGTGCTGACTTGTAAGATGTGAGAGGCTTAGCCCCAAATGATTCACTAACACTGAAAACAAGAGAATTTAGTGTGGAGTTTTTGAAACTATCTTCCTTCCAAAGCTCTGCTGCACAGGCCAGGAAAAGAAACTGATGGAACTGAAACAATTACTTCAGGACACATCTTCCACCTCCTCACTGACCCTTGTACAGGACTTCACAGAAAGGTGAAAGCTTATTCAAGAATTAACACACACAGGCCTACAGGGGATCCCTTTCCTCGATCTGATGAAACTAATATCGGATGCAACTTTCAATTCTAGAACACACCCATTTTTTCAAAACAAATTTTCAACTCGTCACTGTCTGAATATTAAAAAGTTTCCTCGTTTTCTGAGGTATGATGCTTTTTCACTTTATAATAAAGCAAAATGCTCTACAGCTTGAGGAAGGCCCCCCCTTTTAATGCTATCCCTGGCACTTACCTGGCCTCTCTGGCTGAATTTTTAAACAGAGCTGTCTTACAAAGTCTAAAGGCAGTTGAATGATTTCCTAATAAAAAGAAAAAGAAAACATATTTTGACACAAAAATTAATATCCAGTTTGGGGATGTTAAAACAAAATACCAAAGTTCAGTAGATGTTAACAGCAGCATACTAAACTGCACAGTCAGCAGATTCTTCCACTGATTAATTAATATTAATGATTCATTAACAGGAAGACCTGTACCTGCAATCATGCACAATACTTACTCTGCTATGAAAACCAAGAACTAATTTAAATAAAAGAACAAGAAAGAGCATTTTCAGTGGAAGTTTAATGTGCATGAAGAAACCTGCATCATTTTGTCCTTTTCACAAATGAAAAAGTCCCATTTCATCTTGTCCCATGTCTCACATCCCACCCTTCCAAGGCAGAACTGTGTCACTCAAGTTCCAAGAGAAGCTGGAACTTTTCCACTCTGGTATGTGAGGTTCAGTTAACCAGATCTGGCTGCCCTGAAGAACAGAGTGAGCCACAAGGAAAAATGGTACCTCTGACTGCGCAGAAACCTACACAATTCACATGAACCAGATCTCTCCCCTTATTTTGCAGTTAGTCTAAAAATCTCTCTCACACCTCTCGCCTTATGCAGAGCAAAGACGTGGCCACTCTTATTATTTCCTTGAAACAGTGCAAACCACAGAGTACAATCTAATCACCTCATCAGCACAGAGCAGGATCTCCTTGTGTATGTGTGTGTGTGTGTGCCTATCTTGCTCAGAAATATCTGCAAACCCTATTAATTCCTTTAGTGTCATTCAGTGGTCCCCAGAACACTTCTGTGTTTACAGTGCATAAGCCATTTATTTTAAGAATAAAACATTTACCCCGTGGTGAACATAGTTCTCCCCAAAGAACTGCTTCATGACATGTTTTCCGAAGTCTACGATGTTTTGCAGATGGTGTAGTATTTCCTCTGAAGTCTGGAAGACAGGAATATGGTAATTTAACTATGAAATAATGATAAACAACACTCAAGAATACATACACATACTAGTGAATGACTTAGCAAAGTAGCTTAATTACTCTACTGAGTTTGGTAGGTCAGTGCACATTGAAATTAAACAGACACATGAAACGTGTGCTACCTTTGTTTCCCTACTGCTGCCTAAGAGGTTGGGATAACCAGGAAAATGGTCAGAAGAGATGATTATTCTTCTTAAGTTTCAGGGGAAAAAGAACAGAGAAAATTAAAAAGGTGGAAGAGGGGAAGATGACTCAAGATCTACTCTGTCTTTGACTGTCACTCATAACAGCTCAAAGAACTCGAATAGTCAGAAGAGATGCACAGCATGGCTTCTTACCAACAGCAGAAGTGCAGGAGAGGCTCTGCGTGTTATAAAATACATCACCTGCAGATGTGGAAGAGAATGGCTGCAAAGACTGAGCCACATCACAAACCTCTGAAGGAACCGGTACAGATTTTGCCATCTGTCCTAAATCCTGCCCCAGACAATGGGAAGTCTTACTATAATGTCATCTTCCATTAATTCTATGTTATGTGCCTGTAAGGAAACACCAAAGTTCTACAGGACAAAAATGCCAAGCTAGATAGAAAGGAAGCTAAATGAGTACTGGAAGCAGGACAGCACCATGATTACAGTCTGACTGTGACAGACTTCTCATTAAAGAGGCAGCAGAGCAGCTTTACAATACCATTATCCCATTCCCAGCACTCTAGCACACTCTGGTTCTCTGCACAGTATTTTATTGTTACAATAAGACAATCTCCAAGCTGCTGTGTCCTTTTGTAACACAAAGCTTTTCTGGAAAAACACTACTTTGCCAACTACTGTACACTATAAAGCACTGAACCACATATATTTACTCTTGGGATGAAGTAACAGTGGAGAAAGAGAAAAGGGCAACACTCATGTCCAAGTTAGAAAATCAAAGAGGAAAAAGAACATGAGCAGGATGATTAAAAAAAAAAAAAAAAAGCAGAGTAAGAGAAAATAAAATGCTAAAGGACAACATTCAGATAATGACAAAGTCTAGAAAAAGGAGGAAAGACCACATCTAACCCAAATTAAAAATGTTTATAGGTAAAAGGAAAATGTCACTAACCAGGCAATCTTACTAACTTTGTCTTACAATACCATCACGATAGGCAGATTTTTTTTTTCCCCACCCAGAAGGGTTTGTTACCTAATGAACTTACACAAGTTGTGTGGGACTAAGGAAGATTAGTTTGTGACACAGGTCTGCTAAGATTACCTTAGCGCATTTAATATTCTTCCTCTAGTAGGATTCATTTTCCAGACTGAAGCCGCAATACACACTACTGCAACATGCAATAATGCTTTACAGAAAGGTTACTACAGTACTACATGTCACTACACACTTCCTTCAGTAACATCCTGTACTACACAGTTACTTCAATATGCAAAGCACTAACCAAAAAACCCAGTCCTTTGCAGCAAGTAGGAAAAAACACAATATTTCCAAAGCACTTACACAGCATTTCCATATTTCTATAAAGGTCAGCACAGCACTTATCCTTTAAAATGCTTGGCATATTGTATGTGGAGCTGTTTCTCAGAATTACTCTCCCTGAATCCTTTTAAAAGAGCCAAAATAAGCTTGGAGTCTCTTCACAACAGGCAGTCTTCCACTGCTTGAGTCTTAGAACAAAACACACACTATGATGCCCAAATAACTTACTCAATTGCAGTCATCTGGTCTGAAGAAGTGTATTTAAGAAAAAATTATTAATCGGCAACAAGATGTGTGAGCAGGCCACCCACATGGGTATGCAAAAGGATATTTTACAGCAGCGTTGCTCAATCTGCACTCCCCAGGAAGGCCAGTGCCCCCATCACTAGTGCTGAACTCCAAGATCCATCAGAGGACTGCCTGAGCTCCCTCCCTTTGCCCTCAGAGGGCAGAGGCCACCACCCCTGGGAAAGACCTGCTCCCCGCCCCTCTGCTCTGCCCCAGCAGCCTGCAAACACCCTGTACCAGCCTCCCTTCCATTTCGTTTGTTCCAGGCTGGGGAAGAAGTAGTTGCTTTGCAGAGGGGAAACCACCCAGCAATTTAAATCATCGATAGGTACAGCATGGTCCTCTCCTGATGAAATGGGAAACCTCAATTCTGAGCACATACTATATAGCAAAAACTTCAGTTTATATACAAATTTCTGACTTTTTAATGACAACATAACCTTTTCCTTAACTTACTCAAATTCTAAACAGTGAGAAGGAATGTACAGTAACAGAAATCTCAGCTAGTTTCCACTTACAGATTATTTTGACCAAGTTTGCTGATGTACACAATACCCACAGGCTTTTTTTTTAAAAAAAAAAACCACACATATAAATGTATGTATAGGTATACACACATACATATTGGGAAATAAGCATTTCAGAAAATTTGAACATTCACAAGGAAAGACTCATCAGTTAAAAAGATCAATGCAACTTTAAAATTATATATCGTTTGACACCTGCTGACCTCCTTTTAAGAGCAAGTGTATTTGATATACTCCAAACAAAAAACAACTAACAGGCTGCTGGAGGGTAACTCTGAACATAAAAAAACCACTACAATGAAAGCTTTCGAAGGGCCCATCCTTACTGCCAGCTCAGTTAGCAAAACCCTAAAACTCATCAAATAGGGTCTATACAATAAAAAGGTAAAAAATTAATTCATGCACAAGCTTCAGATACTAAAATTATTTATATTCACTTAAAAATCTTTCCAGAAGTCCTGACATTTGACTTTCTACTCAAGAAATGCAAGCCCTAGTTACATTATTCATTCTGAGTATTCTTCATTGGAACACTAAATTGTAACAGTAACTCCACCTTGTTTAACTACTAGATTATCTAGTCCCAAATCCATAACCTAACAGTAGAAATACAAAGTAGCATCCAGACTCCTTGACCTTTCCCAAAGGAGTTAAGCAGAAGAGACCGAGATGCATTTGTCCACATCCCAATTTCAGTATGCATCTTCTTTTGCTCTAACTGCCACTTTCAGAGTTGTTTATATTAGATGAGCTACAATGTCATGCACATATATCCTATTTCATCTTGTACTGGTCAGGAATACAGATTACACCTAAAAACGTTTTCTCCTCTACAGCTGTCATGTTGCTATGTCCAGATTTGTCCCCAAACTGGTTCTCCAGGACTTGTTTATAGATCTGAAAACAAAATATTTAGTCTTTTATTCTGCTCCAAGAAAAAGTGATCCTTTAAAGAATTCAATCACCAGAATAATTAAATGTATTCAAATTACATAATCTTCTATTTAGACAGCAAAGCCAAAAGGAATTGCATACCACAAACTCCACACAATCACAATACAAGGCAAATGCAGAACACTGGACCTGGCCACATGCCAGCTCTCCTCAAAATGTAACAGGGGAGTTTGCTCTGGTAGTGTGCACTTACCAATCCTGAGCGTGAACTCAGAGAGACACTGTTAAAAACGCTTTCAGAGGAACGCTCCGCCACTGCCTGCAGCCACAAACAGCCTTTTTGGTGTTTCAATAGTAAGAAGAGAAGCATGTCTGTCTGGGGCAACTCAGACTGAAGTTTTGCTCACAGTTTCTAAAAAGCAAACTCTTGGTGCTTCATCAGCTACAGCCCACAGGAATACCTACTGCAATCTCTGTGCTTGGTAAGACTGAGCAATTTTACTAGTCTGATTACACAGCGAACAAAACATTCAAGATCCTGACCAGTGTTCAACTATTAAAAGAACATCATGCCCAGGAGATTTTTCTTCTTGTGTTTTGCTATCCCAATCCAAAGAACTGTATGCATGCCAAAGCAGTCCACAGAAGTATTATCAGCTTTAACGCTGCGGTGGGTAACTGAAAAGTCACTTCCTGGCTTCCTTTGCGACTTCATCGTACTTTGTCAAATTTTTAAAAACAACTACTATGTAACAATGTCTTCGGACTTTAAAAAAAAAAAAAAAGGAAAAAAGCTGGCATTCAGTGGTTTTTATTCTTAAATAAATGGCAATAGACTGGCTTTTTACTTTTAACTTGTGGTCTAACTCCCCTGCTGTATTAAAAGTTGAGATAGGCACTGTCTTCCTTTCTTCCAGTCCACTGGGTTCTTCCTTGTTCTCCTAAAACCTCTAAACATTATTATCTTGGACTACTAGAGAAGCACAGGGTACATTTTTGAAATCCTGCCACTATAAGATTAAAAACTTACTTGAATCACACCAGTTTTACCAGGCTTTTTTTTCCAAGTAAAACAGTAGCAGAAAGGCCATCAAATAACTCATGCATACACTGTGTTCATGGGTTTTACCTTCCTCTGCTTTCCTCTGATCTACTTTAGAAACTTCTCCTCTTTTGTCCTTTGTTAAACTGAATGCACTTCACATTCATCTTCCTGATTTAAAGGAAAACGCCCTTCCTTTACTTTACATTCATCCTTGCTTCTTTTTTCCAAAATTAAGCATTTCCCCCACCAACTCTCTGTATAGCCATAATGCTTTTTATGTTTCTTTCTCATCAGACCAGTCTGTCACTGAACCTTACAAAGCTGTGGCTCAGGAACTGTTCCCTGTACCTCCCAGGTAACACACCCTAAAGACTACTCAAGAGGTTGAGGAAATGGCAGAATTTGAGCTCCTGCCTCTTGGGCGTTTTCCCCCCCTTCTGCCTCTTGGGCGCTTCCCCCCCCCCTCCTTCAAGCACTATGTTGACACTTCATTATTGCCCTCCACCTTTGGTTCCTAATGATTTTTCTATCTCTGTTAAAGCAATCTAAATTAAATCAGTCCAGTTCCTTCTCAAGCAGAAAAACCTTCTGCCAGAGTCCAAAAATCCATCAGACTCTGTGCTGCCATGTTCTTCTTGCAACAGAAAGCACACTAAAATCACTCACTGACATTTTGTGAATGTTTCATACTTTTTCCCCAATCCCATGGCTTTTTAGCTACTGAATAAGTAGTCAACAGCAGACCTTTATCATGACACCACTCCTGTGCTGCTCCTCTTCTGTCCCACCCAGCAACAGTCAGTCAAACTGTCACTTCTTCCTCAACATCCCCGATCTCTCCTCCGTTGATAGGCAACAAGAACACATTCTCAGTTGCCAGCTATCCTTACACAAAGCCATACCTTCTACACATTGCAGTCTTACAATCTCCCGCACAAAGGTCTTGGTATCAGCAGTCACGTAATCTTAGTAACGCAAGAGGACCTCAAATTTCCTCCTGTTGCCAGAGCTCCTGAAACACAGGCACATTTCAAAACACCCCCTTATTCTTACTCCTATCAGTCACAGTTCTGCCATGGGTTTCCTGTTTCTCCTCAGACCAGTTATTAGCTTACCTGGGGGCTTTTATCAACAGTACATGTGGAATCTTACCTTATTCTGGTTTGGAGGGGACTTCAAAAACCGCAGCACCACACAGCGCTAAAGAAAGACAGGAAAGAATATGGTTTCATTAGCATTTAAGTACATCATAGTTTCTGAACAGCTCAATTGTCTGATTCCCCAATCTACCTCATCTGAGAAATTAAGTAGAAACAAACAAACAAAAAAGCAAACTAGGCATTTTACGTGGTTATTTCACTTAACTTGAAATCAAACACATCACTGTCTGTTCCCAGATTTGCTATCACTTTAAGCAGCAGCCACTCTGCACTTCAGTCACCAAGTGTAACGGGAAAAAACACTCCCTCAGCACTGCTCTGAAGATCTAGTAACACACAGTATCAAACAAACAAATCAAAAAACACCCTACGATTTTTGCACCAAAGGCCTCTGAGAAAAAAATAAATGGAAGACCCACTTGGATACCATCTGCTTACAATACCAGCACAGTATTACAAAACATCAAGGAGACACTTATCAGTTACCAGCAGTAGCTACAGAAATCTACTTATAAACACCAAAACCTGTTATTTCTGAACTTCCAAAAAGTAAACATATAACACAGGGACAAATGCAGCAGGTTTAATAAATATTTTACCTTTAAAAAAAATTTACTCATCTTTGTAATTTTTACAGTTTCTATCAAATTTTGTAACAATTCAAAAACCTTCATATTTTCAAAGTACACAAATTCTAAAAACATCCTCAGCCTTTATTTTTGAGCTCAGATAAAAATATTTTGTAACTTACTTAACTAAATTAGGCCTTTCTTCCTAGGCCTATTAAGGCAGTTGTCCTCATTCACACTTCACCTGAAGTATCTTTCAGTAAAACCTTGCTGAAATTAACCCTGACACTTGGCAAATAGACTTTATATATTAAAATCAAATTTTGTCATAGTATTAATGAACCTGCAAGGTAACACATAGCCCTGCCTCAGATTGTAAGTCTAAATATCTCATCCTCAAGATATTTACTCCCATTGAGACACTTCAGCCTATTCAGGTAAGATATGGATAAAACCCGGGCACCAGAACGGGAGAGACAAATGGCTGTTTTCTGGAGTTACCTCTCAGTCACTCAGTGTCTTCACTTAGACCTCTTCTAGACACACTGAAAAGGATTACATTCTATTTAAAGCAGTACTAAAAAAAGTACTAACACTCAGATTCCCTGACAAAAATAATGCAGGCAAAATGTCATAGTTACACTTCATGTTTACAGAATTTAAGCTTTTTCCCTACCAAATGACTTGCCATTAAAAGATCTCCCATAACACGACAGCACATTCCATATTTCATACATTCCATATTTCGGGGCTGAAAGCTGTCTCTGGACAGTGCTGAGTGGGAGAGAACTGCAGTTATCTTTGATTACTAACATGTAGAAAAAGCAGGAGGAGAAAAGCAAAACAGACAACAATGTGTAATCCAAAATACTAACAAATTAAGATCCGGATTCAGACATTGCTATTGAAACCCAGAAACAGCCCTTTCAATATTTAAAAAGTCTCAAGCCAGCATCTCATAGTTCACCAACATCTGAAAACACTCTCAGGTAAAAAGATACTTTGGTGAATTTTGATTTAACTTGTCCTGCAAGACAGCATGAGTGTCACAACAACTAGATAAACTGAACACTCATTATAATCACCTGGATTTGACAAGATTGTTGGGTGGCACTTACTCTTTTTCTCCCACTATGATAACAGAGCTCAGGTCTGATGAGCCTGTACGCTCCATGTACACAATATGCTACTTTTACAGTGTTTCAGCTGTTTGGATCCCCCACTTCAAATATTCCTAAGCAAGTGGATCAGCAAGAGTGTGATCTGACTGTCACTTCTAATCAATTCAGAAACTTGATTCGGTAGTATTTCAAGGGTGTTGTAGATAGATATCTATTAATCAGTTCCCAGCCAACAAGCTTCCAACCAACTGCTCTGGAAAATCCAGTTGCTCTCACAGGACTCAGAGTATTCATTTATTACCAAATCATTTCTGAAGAGGCATGCTAGGATAAAATGACCAAAACTATATATGGTAAAGAGGAACACACTGCTTGTCTAAAGATGTCAAAAGGAAACAGAGCAAAGTTCAAACAAAACTTTTCAGAGGCACTTCAACCAGTCAGCCCCACTGTGCCTTATAAGGCTATTATTAGATGACCAGAGTAAAAAAAAAAAAAAAAAAATTAAAATTAAAAAAAAGAACACTTTTTTCTTTTTTGGAGGGAAGTTTTCAGAAAGCTACATCCCTTTGTGCAATTCAGTACACAGTTACACAAAGCCACTGCCACAGCACAAAGGTTAACCCATCACATGTCAAAGATGCAAACTGCTTCAAAATTATTACGACTTAAAATATTGGCCCACATTTTTCATGCTGTTGCATTACTGATTAGCTTAACTGATTCTTTACTTGGAAATATTGTAGGCGGTTGTTGCCATGAGGTTTTTTGTCACTTATCTTAAATGCCTTAGATTTTTTTTTATTTACAGGTTGAACATCAAAGATGTAACGTGCTTATCTGCCTGCAAAAGAATGGCCCAAATCCAGAAGAGAACAGATTTCTTAAGAGGTTGTCACTACTCCTTTAGCACTTGAAGAATCAGATCAACTATGTCGTAATGCTCCCTAAATTTCATTGTCTATACACCTCTGTAAGCCCTTCCACTTCCATCAATGCACTAGTACCACCAAAGCGCTAACTGGATAATAGTCCCACACAGACAAAAAGATTAAAAAACAAACAAACGAACAAACCAACCCTAAAACAAACAAACAAACAAACAAAAAACCACACTGCAAAATCAAGCAGAGGAAAAAAAAGAAACAATGCATGGGGGTACTCAAAGGTAACACATGAAACATTAAGAGCTTCACATCTTCTGAAGCAGGACAAGTTAGAAAAATAGTGAATTCAAAGGAAGAGTTCTATCTACAATCTTTTTAAAATCCTGCAGCCCCTTCTCTGCAAGTATGTTCACTATCCAGTTAGTGACAAAAGACTATTGAAAAACCCCAAACTATCAGAATATCCAACATGACTGCTCCTATTCTCCAAGTAAAGAATTTAAGTGCGACTCTCAGCAGAGAGCACAGCAGTTTGGTAACAGGTAACAAACAACTTCCTTACTGGCATCCAGGACCATACAAAGTGCTACAACAAAACCATTTCCAATTGTTATGGACAACTCAAAACAAACAAGAGCAACAGTGATACTGGAACTTGTGTGCCTCCCAAAATACATTCACAGTCACTCTGCTGCAGAGATGATGTAATCAGGAGCCTATGTTCTGGAGCAGCACTACCTCAAGCCACAGCATTTTAAGACTGCAGCCTCAAGCTTACGGTCCCACCAAGAAAGGCAAACACTTCTTTAGCACCCCATTCATGGAACAGTTGTTTGGGTTAAATCATAGCTGAAAGTTAATGGTTGCCAATAAGGAGACAAGAAGCTGAGGGAGGGGCTGTGAAAATGTACACAAAGTAGTCACTGGCATCACAGAAACACGGATATGTACTCACACAACTCCTGCCCTAATCTATCCGGGGAAAAAACAGTTTGCTAGTCTTGGGCCCCAAGAGGTTATCTGCAAGAATTTTTCTTCTCCAAAGAAGTTACTACAGCTATTATTTTAATCTTAGTGAAATCCAAAACCAAAGTAATCCTTGCTAGTTAGGCCAAAATACAACTGGCATCAATCCGGTACTTTCGATTAGACAGCAGCATTATGAAACCAGGATAAAATCTTACATTTATTTCTTTACAGACTGATGTTTGATATTGGCTTTATATTTTAAAAAAATGTCTTCTAAACTTCACTGTCCTAAGATAAAGCTACCATGCAGGCCTCCTGAACTGGAGAGTTTTCACAAGTAAAACACCATTGGGGCAACTCTATAGTCTTGATAGTCTTCCCCTTCAGAGAAAAACCTCATTTGCACCACTGAGGTTTTTTCAAGTTTCCATTTCTTGCTAAATTAACTAAATCTGATGTCAGTAAAAGAAACAGGAAAATTTTTATTAAAAAAGCTAAAATGCTAGTTAAATTGTTAAATACAGAAAGATGTGCATTTTCCTTCTGCTGTTACCACCTCAACTCATATGGTTTTAAAATAAGTTTCTGTATGGAAATATGAAGAATTAGCCTGTCCAAACAAAGCCTGGGAAACATCACTTCAGCTTCTGCTTTCCCAAATAAGCAGGTTCACGTCATTTGTTATTACTCTATTATTATTCTGAACAGCATGCATTAACTGTTTTCATCTAGAGGCACAGCATTACTCTAACACCTACTTCTGCAACTGCCCAGCATAACTAGAAAAGATTCTTATCTAGTTGATTACCAACTTGTGTTCACATATGCAAGATCCACTGGTAGAAGCCAAGGCACTTTGGGAAGCAACTTTTTAAGTCCCAGAAAGAAATTCACCCCTCCTCCCACATCAGTCACCTCCCTCACTCCACAGTCTCATAAATTGTGGTATCTATTACCAGTATTTTTGTAAGCACTATACGCAATGTTACATCACAAAGTTACCTACCTGTCTACTATACTCTGTCATCCATACGTTTATTTTGAAAAGGTATGCGACGTACATGCAGTACAAGAAAACTCACATTTGTTTTAAAGTTGCCCATATAAAAGTCACAAGCTTCCAACTGTAAATGTTGGGGAGGGGGAACGCTCTCAAAGACTACTAACAAATCCTTCCCTACAACTATTACTATTTGTTGCAACCAATTACACACACCACCACCAACTACTACCTAAGGAGATGAAGATATGAAGTCAAGTACTTATAGAGAATGGTGCCTGTAAAGACTCCTGATTTTCTTTATACAGCAAAAACTGGTTAACTCATTGCCTTTTGCTGAATCTAAAGTGCTACCAAGAATGTGCCAGATGCGGCTCTAAGAGTGCCAAAACTTCTACCACCATTGTAGTTATTCAAGGCAACCTCATCATGGTGGATTTATGACAGCCCACAGCAATGACACCTACAAAAAGTACATTCTGTCTAAATTTCAA